TTCACTGTAGTACTGCTTTAGTGGGTGATGTTAAAGTAATATTTTGAATTGAAAATAAATACATTGTAAAAGTCTTAGAAAGAGAGAATACTATATACAAGTATCTGTATCCAATATGTATCAGAATAACACATTTATATGAAATATTTCATTTTTACAATTAAAGAATTAGAACACCGTTTTGACTCGAAAAATGTCAGTCAGTGAAATGAGAGAAGATATTTGTAGTCAGTCAGTGAAATGAGAGAAGATATTACCTACTGTTATTTATTAACAGTAGGTGTAAAAACTGTAAAGCACACAATCAACAAATTTATTAACTGTAAAGCACACAATCAACAAATTCGTTTAGGAAGAAGAAGAAGATGAAACAGACAACAACAATAAATCCAACTGACACACAGACAATGACAAGGGAAACCCAAATAAACTGAAATAGCCTCCATTCAGGAAATGAAATCATGGAGGAAGCACATGTGCATGTGTGAGGAGGAGGCGGTGCCAATAAGTGCACGTGGCTGTTTCCATATATGGACTTCCTCTCTTGTTGTATTTGAAAGTCCAGATTTTTACTGCAGGCGGTTTGTTGGGGGAAGAAAAGCATCAGAAGGAAAATAATTTCCGTTGTGAATGATTTTTTCTTTCACCGTCGATGATGTCGTGGCTATTTTTATGGCTAACATTTAGCCATTTGAGTTAATTATTAACCCTTATTTGTAAGTTTTTTGTTTTAACATTTCAAGCTGATTGTTACAAATATTAGCATGTTTAGAACTTTCTCTGTTTTTGGCTAACCTTTAGCTATATTTTTACTCAATTTTCCAACCTTTTGTCTAGCTCAAACTTTTTGTTACACAAACGAACATTGACACCTTGTTCTTAACTCGCATCTATTTTGAGCTAACCTTAAGCTATTTCAAATTTTTTGATTTGGCTAAATATATTAATGTTGTATTTTGCTATTTTTTCTTTCTTACTCTATAAGAATCTACCATATCTAACCAAGTCAGGTTCAATCTTTAGTTATTTGTAACTAAACGTTAACAGTAGGGTTAACTCATTGATAGTGCTAGGTCTAGCTCAACGATTTTGTCCAATATATAGATTGCATCTTAGCTGTTTTTTATCTCTTGGCCAAACTAATTTAATTAATTAACTGAATTGAACAAATTCGTCTTTTGTCAAACTTCTGTCTCTTGTTCTCCTTCTTTGCTGTTGATTGTCCGTTTGTATTCATTCATCTGTATTCATTACTGTTTATTTTTTCCTTTATTTTATTTTGAGAAATTGTATTTTTAGCTTTATTTCAGCTAAACCTTTATAAACAGCTTTTTTTTTTTATTATTTTTTGCTACATACAGTATACTTGTGGCTAACGTTCAGCATTGTTTTATGGCTAACATGTAGCTTTTCTGGTCTATTCTTGGGCAACTGTTGAGCTATTTCCCTTGGATAATTTCACCAGTTTTTGTGACATCTAAAGCTGATGCTTCACTTCAGGTGTATTACATTTTTACTACATTTGCAACATCTTTAGTTTATTACCTTCAGCTTTGTGTGACAGCTTTTATTTCATTTTTGCCGAAATGTTGCTTTTTTCCCCCTGTGCTTATTGTTAATTATTGTTGGTTAATTTTCAGATGATTTTATTTCTACCAAGGATATTTTTTGGCCATGATTTCAGCTTAGCTGTTTAATGACAATTTTAAGAATTTATGGTTGGTTTTTTTGTCATTCTTTTTGCATCTTTTGGCTCTAAGTGGGTTAATTCTGGTTTGTCCTTTTGAAATGGGTTTTAGTCACCTCTGATGTAGTTTGCCTATTTCTAGACTAAATAACAAAGTTTTTATTCATTGTGCTTTGTGATTAAATTGTCACAAAACAACATCAGAACAATTTACCTTTTGGAGTGTTATAATACAGTAAGGAGAGAGAGAGAGAGAGAGAGAGAGAGAGAGAGAGACAGAGAGAGAGAGAGACAGAGAGCAGAAATCCCTCCCAGCCTCTCTCTTTTCTTTGAGCTGATAAAAGTCCAGCTCTCCTGGGAGCAGGAGTGTCTGAAGCACAGAAGGAACAGGAGGTAAATACTGGGTGTGTGTGTTGTCCCACAATAATTCACAGCTTTGTGTGTCTTTCACTGTGTGGATGTGAGCACATACCAGGGTTCACGTGTTAAAAGCAGCACAGATATCACATTCGGCTCTTTTCTCCTACTTTTGTGAACGGACTGGAGTCAGTGATCAGACCAGGACTGTGTGTGAGTGCCACACTTGTTGAAATTGTTATAACTTGGTAAAAAAAAGTTTGGAGCAAGACATTGTTTATTTATTTATTTATCTATTTATGCATTTATTTATTTCAGTAAGGTCTCAAAACTAGTTTGCAGCGATTATAAAAATGCACAAAGTTTGGACGAATCTGTAGGTCTGTTGCAGAGGAAGTTTACTGCCATCTAGTGTTCTACAACTGTACTGCATGTTATGGTTAGTGTAGAACGGAGTGTGGCCTTCGGACAATTGTACAGAGTTATAATGCAGCCGCGTTTAAAGTTAAGTCATCTTAAGTCTACCTCTTTTCGTTTACCTGTTTTAGACGGTCTCTAGTATTGCAGTGATTTTTTTTACGTTAACTTGGAAAACTTTTACCCGTTTTTGAATATTCCTTGTGCTAGCTAATGCTAACATATGGCTAACTTTGACACTAAATGACGATACATATACACACCATTTGTAATTATTTTTGGTAATAGCTTCGGTTAACTATTGTCATACTACTTGGCTATAATTTATTGCAATGTTTAGTAATTTTTTGTAACTTTAATTTTATTTTATATATAAAGTAAATATATAAATTATCTATTTATTTTTTAGTCACCTCATAATGAATAGGCATAGGAACAATTTAGCTAACATAGTTTGTTTAATGTGCTGTACAGAGAGTATGTAGCTTTTGCTAATTTTCAAATGTGCCTATTTTTCATTTACCCACCCAATGATTTCTCGGCCTTTCCCAGCTAAACCTCTTGTTTTCACCCTTTTATTTGTTGTTGTTTTTAAAATAGATATGATTTAATATTCTTTGCATAACATAACATATAATTAATTTCTGACCAACCTTTGCCTATTTTTTGTTCTGTTGTAAACCAATAAAACACTTTTTCTATTTTTAGGGTACAACACTAACCTAATTAAACCAGCTAAGGGTTCAATATTTTTTGCCAAATTTGTAAGAAAATACTGCATATATTTAATGATGTTTACACCATATTTCTCTAAATCTGACCAGGTTTTAGAGTTTTGGTTTCACTGCACTATTTGATATTTTTTGCATTTTGCAGATTTAGCTTTTTCTATTTTTCTTTGCCTAACTTTTACCTTTTTATTAAAATTTTCAATTATTTTTGTCAACCAAATCTTCATTAGCGTTTCTTTTTAAGTATTTTTATGTACCTTTCCAGTACGTTTTAATCATTTTAATATATTTGTATATTTATTATTTCTGTAGAAACGAATGACAAATAAATGTTTCCCACTTGCTCAGCTTTTACGTTTTACCTTTAACTGTTGGCAACACATGTTGATAATTCTTCATTGTGCTTCACAGACAATAAATAAAAACCAATAAGATAAAGAATTTATTGAAAACCTCAGTACAAATTGTTTCAACAAGAATAAAGGTATTTTATACAAACTCGAGATTAAAAGTGCACATGCATCACACTCATAAAATACTTCATACTTCTCACATAATAATATTAAAAAATATTAACATCATATGGGTTAATCTGTAGCTTAATCTGGTAAATGTTTGTCGTTAGTGCGGCTCATTAACAGCAGCTGAAGCCGTAGGTTAGATTTTGTGTTAAAGGAACCCCGACAAAAAACCTCTGGGGAACCAGGACTGATTGTTTTGTCCCTGGCCTAGGAGAACCAGGGAGAACCAGAGAACATGTGTGGCTTTAACCTCATCTCTCCAAAGAAAACCAACATAAAAAGTCTGTTGGAAGTGTAGCAGTTAACTTTTCCACAGAGGAAAAAAAACACAACAAACTAAAGATGAATAACAATTTACTAATACTATTTATTGCTTAAATATTCTCAAATGGCGACAATACTAAATGGCAGTGTCAAAGGATTGGGTCGGAGAGGTGAGGAGGAAGCCCAGAGTGCAGGTTAGGGAGGGTTCTGTACTCATGGCCTCTTCCTGTGAACCAATCACGGTGAGCTGTAGCTGCTCCCACCTGACACACCACTAACACAGACACTCCTGAAGGAGAAAGTCTGACAGTCCAAGGGTCACTACACCTCCCCATCAAACATCAAACATTTCCCCCGTGGAAGAAATGTTGGATCAAACAGAATGATTTTAGAAAAAAAAATCGACATATAGTGGAAACCTCGAGATATGAACATAATTCGTTTCAGGACTGAGCTCATAACTTGAGGTGCTCGTATCGCTAATCATTTTTTTCCCATAAGAAATAACAGAAAAAACGAATGTATCCGTTCCGGCCCTCTAAAAAACTCTCTTATTAGTGCTAATAACGATGGAAAAAACATGTTTCTAATTGATATTGAGACAGACACACAAAAAACTATAGTATATAAGGATTCCTGTGATATAAAATAAAATGTGGTTTTAATTCTTACCTTCGAGACAGAAGATACAGTAGTGGGTAATGAAGGAGGAGGGAGGGAGGGAAGAGAGTTGGCACTTGATTCCGTAGCGTACCTTACTACTACGTAACTTAGATAAACTTAGACTTAACTTAACTTTTAGGAGTCATCACTATTATAAAGAGTACTGCACAAAATAGACAGAAAATCCACGACAAACACGTAGATAACGCAAACACAATACGGAAGACTCGCGGGAGATGCGTACGGAAGTCGAGGAACACGTGAAGCTGCTCCGAGTGCTCGACCACCTAGCGTTGGTGTCTTTAAGCGTGCTCGTATCTTTAAAAAAATTCTCAAAGCCCTGCTTGTATTTCGAAAATACTCGTATGTCGAGACACTCGTATCTCGAGGTTGTATTTAAAGAGCATGGCAGCGTCACATCAGTGTTTTTTGTGTACTAGTTAGCTCGTCTTTGTTCACAGCACGTGACAAAGGCTGAACAGAAACAGTTCAATTACTATCAGCAGTTGCCCTTGGTGGATCCAGATCATTAATGAAAGTGTCCAAAGTCATCAAGTTTTCGTGCCTGAGCACATGTAACAACACATGGGGAACAAGTTGGGCCAGTTTGACGCAAAAGAATCAGAATTGTGCGCATCCACCAGTGGAATTTTAAACTCTTCAGGAGATGGAAGTTTTTTTTCTACAGGCAACTGGAGACGGACTAATATTTAAAATTGGTACACACGCTGCACTGAGTTTAATGCTCCATGCTAAAATATCATAACCATAGTAAGACAGGTCTCCATGAATCAATGACTGTTTAGCACCAGGGACCCTCAGGATAGTACCTGGAACTGTTGTCTCCTCACCTAGAGAAACCTGTGTAAATGAAGTAAATGTCATCCTCATCGTCCATTTCTGAAATGAACATTTGAGGGGATACTTGAATGAGACCAATGGAAGTTGGAACACATAGACAGTAAAAAGGAAATGAAATCAAACGATGACATCATGACGATTCAAACCTCAGTTTCTGATGGTGTGGTTGTTGTTGGAAGAGAGCTGTGATGCAGCCAAGTCCAAAGACTGGGCTCCAACCTCGTGTGGCATCTGAACGAGAAAATGAAGTGATGATGAACAGACAGTAGGGGAGATAGAGATCTGAGTTTTTGTTCAGTACCGGCTCCGCAAAACTGACTTCCGGGTGTGACGGCAAATGGGTTAGAAGTGTAGTTCGAGTGGTAAATATAAACTATGAAAAGTAAAAAAGTAAAATCACAAATAGTGAGAATTAGGTGGATATGGTGACAGGAGGCGTCGATGCAGGTGACGCTAATATGCTAACTACGATGGAAGTCCTGCAAGTCAGCAGAGATGCTATCTGCTCTGACATAAAATCAGGATACTTAGACATGAAGAAAAATTTTGTGAGGTATTCAAAAGAGACATGAAGGCAGAGCTGGGGAACTTAACTAGAAACTGAGCGAGATCAGGGTAAAAAACACAGATGCTAGGATTGAGGTAGTAGAGAACCGAGTGGCTGAGATGGAGCAAAGGAATGTTAACGCAAAGGATGCTTCAGGCTCGGAAGGAGCAACAGTTGATTGTTGCTAAATTAACAGATTTAGAAATCTTGGGGATTCCTGGGAGACAGGAAGGAAGCAAGGCATTTGAGTTTCTGGAGAAATGTATAAAGTCAGAATTGCATCTCCTGCACAGTGACCTTAAAATGCAACATTGTAACCGGTCACTCAGACCAAAACCACCACCCCAAGTTTCCTCGAGGTACATGATCACTTGTTTCCTTCTGTATAAAACAAAAGTAAATGACCTACAGACCGGCACTGGTCCACCTATAGGACTACGGTAGAATTCGGTGTGTGTAATGTTAAAACATATGACATTATAAAAAATAAAGATAAAGAAAAGACTGACCAAGACTGGAGGCGCCAGGAAGAGGTAGTTAAAGGGGTAGTGCAGCAGGTTACTGCAGGTAGACGAGTAAAGATCTGCGTAACGCATCAGCTGACTGGCGAACAGTGTCTGCCTGGCACCGCTGCGCAGCAGGCTGCCCATCTGACCGTAGGCCGTGTCCATTTTCTGGGTCAACGCCTGCAGGTGGGAACAAAAGCATCAGAATCAATCGGTCTGCACACAAGGCGGCACGACACAGTCGACATCTGACTGGTCACCTTAGACAAACATCTCCTCTCCTCTGTGGATGTTCATGACCACGATCAGACATCAGACAAAGCTTTAGCTCGCTATTGAAAAATTTGGACATTTCAGCTCGTTCTAATGCACACGAGTCAAACTCAGGCCCACGGGCCAAATCTGGCCCGCAGTGTGACTATATTTGTCCTGCGAGATCATGTCAAATGTGTACTATAGTTGGCCCGCCATTATATAGCCACTATATACAGGCAAGATTTGTAGCATTAGCTACAGTGCTACAAATCCTGCTCTAATTGCAGTTAATTTTTCAATAAAAATTTAGGTTTTGCCTAAGACTTCGTCCCAGTTTTTAATTTTGGGCAACTGTGGATTTGAGTTTGACACATCAAAAAACAAATGGCTTTATTAAAAGTTAGCACAGAAATAACTACAAGTTGGACAAAAGTGTTCTAAAAATCTTTAGTTACTCAGCTGTGGATTTGGTCAAATTTTGTAATAATACACAAATGAACCTTAAATCCTTTAGTCAGAAAGAAAAATTCTGTAAATTCTGTAATGACTAAAAATTTAAAGAAAACTGCTACTTTTTAGTTCAAAGGTAACGCAGTTTTTGATTCCAATAATTAAACTGTTAAGAAAGTTAAGCATGAGGAAAGCAAAAAAAGTCAAATCAATAACTCAAATATTCTTTCTGGTCAAAATTCATGATGACTTTGAAAACGTTAACAGACTCACCCTCATCCGTTTCTGTATGGTGCTGATATCTGGACAATCTCGACTGCCGCTGTCCAGGTGCCTTCACAACACAAACACAAACAACTTCATTAGTGTCCGGATTATTATTATTAGTCACTCACCCACTATTGAACGCCCGTGCTTGTTAATCCAGACTATAAAATGATTACCAAACTGTTTTGTGTAAATAAGTCTTTAGCTTTAATAATCTGC